GGCCAAATATTGTTCTATCCTAACAAACCATACATCAATGGAAAGCTTATTTATTTAGCTTTCAGATGATGTATAAATCTCAATTTAGAAAAATTTACCTTTATGACTTGTTTTGTGGTCCAGGGTCACATATATACGCTACGCGCGCTGTAGCCTGTATCCTTTCATATCAAAGCGTGAAATAAACTACGTACATGCAATTTCGCAGTCAGTTAACTCATGAGGCGTTACCAAAAAGGCGATTAAAGCTGCCTTAAAACTGTGCATGCATGTAATATATTTTATGAGTCACATTTAAGAACATGTCTCTGAAATGGTTTTCAAAACAGTCTCAGAGCAGCCCAGCACTGTCTCGCTCATCTAACACACCCGATTAAACTCGTCAGCTCATTAATAGAGACTTTAATGTAGTGGGTCAAAGAAATAGCAGCCAAAACAACCTAATGTCTATTAATCAAAGGACAAAGAAAAAAATAACTTTTATAGCTTTAAGAATTAATCTATATTTAATTTAGAATTTAGTGTTTGATAACTTAAATTTCAATTTCTGTATATTTCTGCTGAAGAGCACAGGTAAATATTACATTTATTATAATAGGTTTATGTGAAGATTGTTTTAAGTTAACTTAAATTAGAAGTTATTTTTTAAAGTCTAATAAATGTTAAAATTGATAGCTCTCAATTATACTGCAATGTTGTCTAGTCAAGACTATGGTTAAATTATTAGGAAGGAGGGGGGGGGGGGGCAATTTTTTAGAGAAATCAGTATTGGTATTATTGATCAGAAAAAATCTGGGGGGAAAATGCCATTAAACAAATATAAAAAATTTTACTGTCTTTGTTGTTTGTACATTAATTTGAAGATTGACTGTGAAATTATTGCAATATAAAAGTATATTTAAAAACTTTAATGTTAGGTGGGATTAATCGCGATTAATTTCAGAAAAATGTGCGATTTAATTAGTTAATTTGTTTTAATCTATTAACAGCACTAATATATATATATAGAGAGAGAGAGAGAGAGGGTGAGTGAGTGAGTAAGTGTGTGTTTGTCAAGTTTATTAACTTATGTAAACCTTTTCTTTTTAGATGATATGCGGCTGACACCAGAAGACTTTACTCGGGCTCAGAAATACTGTAAATACGCCGGCAGTGCACTGCAATATGAGGATGTGGGCACTGCCATCCAGAATCTGCAGAAGGCGCTGAAGCTACTAACCACTGGGAAAGAATGAGACCATTGTGCTGTCCTCCCTAAAACCACTGTGTCAGAGATCTGGCCCAGAGGAGCTGAAAAAGGACCTTTTCCCTAGCCCCATCTGTATCAGCACCCCCCAATCACTCAATACAACATCTGTTTCTGCCATATTGGATGTCAATAGTTGCTCATTACTAGACCGATAAGATACAGATACAACACTAAAAAATCAGGTGCATGTGAAAAACCCTTTCAAAATTCTGAGGAGCTCATACATATTTAGGTTTGAGGTGGTTTTGCCTTTTTTTCTTTTTCTGGCTTCACAATAATTTGGTTAGATCTGCATGGACATGGCAGCATGTCTGAAGATATGTCTTAAACAGGAACTCTCATCTTACCTCAGGCTCTCTGAAACGTGAGCTTTAGAGACACTTTGCCCTTAACTACTTTCCATTCACTTCTACATACAGTATATGCTTCAGGTGGAAGGATTCTGCAGTTAGTTTCCATAGTAACTGTTTTCTGCCTAGTTATGCGTTGCTATAATCAACAATAAATCTTTTTTTGGTCAACTCTTTTATTGGTCATTTGCAGTGCATGTTTCCTTTTTAATCTCATGAAAAATGAGCATCTCACATTTTGATTTTTGGTGCTTGATTATTAAACGTAGTCATTAAATGCTGCTTTTCAAGGTGTATGCATTGCATCATGTAAACGATAAGCATTGCACACATGCAGTTAGAGCATGAATGAGGATTGTAATAGTGTTAACTCTGGATCTCTGCACAGGCAGCTTTAAACAAATCACTGGCAATTAAAAACCAAATGTTAATATATCTCATTTTTCTTTTTTTTCCCTTTGACACGTGTTTGCATATATACTTATTGTATTCTATATAACGTAATCATTTGCTTAATTATATATTGTTCTACACTGTTGCTCTTATTATGCCATTTAATCCTAGCAACAGTGCGCACCAAACACTAATGCAAAGTTTTCATGTATTTACTTGCTTCTTCTTTTTGGGGTCTCCCCGGGATTTCTCATACAGAAGGGTGGGGCTCTGTTGAGAACTGCCTCCAGCGGTTGGACAAGCACAGTTTTGTCTAGTAAACTCTTGTTAACGCTTTACCCCGCATCTGTCTACTCGGAGAACAGGTTCATCTATCAAAAACAGACAGTGCAGTTAATTTAAGAATATCCCCAAAGATGATGCGTGTTTATAAGCATCGGCGTGGCGCGTGAGAGTTGATGGTGGGCTGCCTCTCAAAGTTCTCTGAAGTTGTTCAAACAGGAGAAGATATATAATGCTTCTTCAACGAGACGAGCTTCAATGAAAGAATGTAAGTGACTTTTCGAACTTCTTATACGTTTCTTTGTGAAATTACATATTCGAACTAAAACTCAAGTAAACTAATCTTGAGGTTTTCCCGGTTTAACTTTGCGAACAATAAAGGGCTCTGATAAGTGGAAATAGAATTTGCCACAAGGTGTTGATACGTTTAATAAATGTTCAATAGTTCATAGAACAATAAATAATAATAGCCTACTCTTAGAGACTGGGTGAGCCGTGAGACAGCTACGTGTTATATATATATATATATATATGGCAACGTTGATATTGTAGCTCAGTTACATTTATAAAATGGAAAGTCCATGGTCTTGTATTATATATATATATATAATTGGTGTATTGTGCGCATGTTGTTGTATTTTGCTTGCTACTTTTACTTGGAAGAGTGAAATATCCATGGCTCAAAAGAGTGGGTGTCACATTACAATGGTGGTGGGCAGATGAATTGCTAATTGGACTTTTAGATGACCGCAAATAAAACTGTAAACAACTAAATAGTATTTAAAATGTCTACGTCTAAATTATAGCTTCCACTCATAGTCTGTCTCTCTCACTATAAGCTGCCTGCCTACACAGCGTTTTAGGCATCACAGACATTTGATGCCCGACTTTCTACTTGATTTTAAGGCCCAATCATGAAGTAGGTTAATGTGGAATTTCTTAGGTCATTAGATGAGATGAGCTCATATCAGAGAAAAATGAGAGGATGATGAATATCCCATTTACCTGTAGTGCTGACAGCTGTGGTGTTTCTGAAGTTAGTGATGTAATTCAAAACTGTTGAAGTGTTGATGTACTGTTCAGTTACTTCTAAAGGTTTAACATTTGTAAATCATTAGTGGTCTGATAATAATGCAGATTCTTTTTATTTTGCATTAAGATTTTCTGGAGTTGTAGCGTTTTGAATACCAGAAGCCACTGTTTCTGGTTTTCCAACTCATTTTTGCCATGATGAATCAAGGTCTTTATTCTGCTTGCATGGTCCCTTGCGTCTCTGACCCCATTCATGTGTATTTATATATGCTTAGGGGAGCGTTCTGAGCAATATTCATATGTTCTCTAATGGCATGTATTGCATACATTTTATATGGTGGTCGAAATAAATGGCTTCATTCTGATCACTCATGACAAATGCGCCACCTTACAGAGATGATATGAGGCGGTTTATTTAAAGGGGTCCTATTATGCTGCTTCACTTTTTGAATTTTAGTCAGTGTGTAGTGTGTATGTTTGGGCATAAAAAAGATGTTCAAACTTACAAATCTACAAGTCCACTCTAAGGGGAGATATTTCGTTTTTTTTTTTTAATCGCTTTTCAAGAACTACAACGAACGGCTCGTTTGGACTACAGCATTTGTTTTCCGGGTTCTGTGATATCACAAAGTGGCCCATTAGAATATTATTAAAATAATTCCCGCCTAGGGAAATTGGAATGGTTGGGGGGGGGCGAGGTTGTGGTTAGAACGCTTGGTTGAGTACATCAGACAAGAAGACGAGGAAGAAGTGCTGCTGTAGCCTCATGTTTTCGCAAGTTATTACACATGCACCTGAATTTTATTACATTATGTATGTAAATGTATTTTACAATTATGAAAGCGTTTTTATAATAAGTTGCTGACAGTACAATACTGGACAATGATTCAGAATTTACACTTCAATTATGAGACTACAGTGTTTCCCATACATTGATTGTGGGTGTTTTTATATCACTGTATTTCTGAAGGAAACCGACTGTCTTCAGAAAATTGGATGTCATTTTCATTTAATCTTGCATTTAATGTCTGATAAAGCAGCGGTTGTGAGCCTTCTGTTGGCAGAGAATGAGTTTGCATATATATGCCGCCTGGGAAACACTGGTCTATGGTATAAATAAATTCAACTGTATAACAGTTTCACTGCAATTCATGTTATAATGTTAGAATTAAATAACAATAAAAATAATACATATGCACTTAGCTGTACATAGTAAATGCAGTTATTTTTAAGCGGTTGTTGACATCCTATCTAAAACGTGATTTAGCCCAAAAAAAAACAATAACGTTACCACTCTAATATGTCTTGCAATATCCGTGCGT